TGAAAATTGAAATCATCCCTCTTGTCATACAGTCTTATAAACCTTTATGCATAGATCTAAATATGAAACGGGTGAGGTGGTCTTATATTACTGGTCTCTTTTATTTCCAGCTCAGTATGGTAAATCGGTGGAAGGGATTTGGCTATATGACCATTATTGAACGATATCAGATCATCGATATTCCTTAATTTTAGGTTAAACGTCATTGCTAAATTTCCTTGTTTTGATTTTGCCAATCCGAGCAGCAATTCTACCTGTGTGTATTCAGACACAAATCAGCAAGGAGGGGGAGCACAATTGGTGCCCATGGGGATCAGCACTGCATCCATTGAACATTACATCTTTGCCAATGAGCATAAGGTGACAACTGTAAGCACTCGTATCTTCTTAGCGTGTTTTCAACCATAAAAGGGTGTAACTTCACTGCATTATAGTCATATCAGCTTGCCTCAAAGATCATTTAGGCCGGAGTCGTTATACCGTTGTCAGCTATTGCCTGTTTACTACCATATGGGCAATCATGCAAAATGTCTCTTGTGGATTGTGTGCAAAGATAGTCCGCATCGACGCCACGGGATCGGGGATTTAGACACTGTGGTTTGACTGCTTGTTAACATACAAGATGGCCTTAAACGTTGATCTATGCTACTATCCACTGATCCACTGGTTTGTCTGGCCAAGATTCTATTATTTACAAGCTTACTGAGGCAAATGATCAGACCCATGTTGGTAAAACTCAAGAGCACGAGAATAGTGCTTACAAACTAAGAATCACGATCAGAACGATTCAGACCAATCAGTACTCAGTCTTACTTGTTCATATAAGTAAATGCATCTAATGTGTGGAAAGTCAAGTATACCCCTGTTATATGAGGCTATAACCATTTGGCTAGTTATGGCTATGTGATTCCTCCCGCTGTTTGGGTACTATGACGCACAATCGGCCAGTTCCAACTGAGAAATAATTCCTTATGGGTCGCCCATTCACATAGTATCCACACACAGCATTCCTTGTGATAACCAGATCCATTATTTTAGTCACTCTCAGAATGGAGTACTCAGGATTTGTTCTGCAGGGGACATCCGAACATGGTCTCACTGAGAAAAAGGTCTTTTGAATTCTTATTAACTAAATTAGCCACAGCGACAGGAAGGTCGGTAAACAACGAATTTACTATCCCGCCTGGAGGAATTGCACGAATATGCTGAAGATTAGTAAATATTACATATTAAATTAGTATAATGCACAACTAAACCGCACTGTAAAAAAATGGGTTTAGAATGTAAACAAATACATGATTAGGAATGTGTTTCGATCCTAAACAGTATGCACATTTGGTGTGTTTTATGTAACCATGTTTAGGGACTAAACTCACGATATGAGCCATCGCCTCATGGCCTAAACACCACCTAAACGCAACATATGTCTCCCCATATCCAAGCATGTTTAGAATTTAAACACCTTTAAACATGTTTATAATTTACATACTTTTAAACATGTTCAGAATTTAAACATGTTTAATAAAGTGTATTTCACCAGGCTGTAAGTCAAATATGGATGAGATGTATAATATATATTGACATTAGATGTGCAAATCAGATTCACAGGCACTTGCATAACACATAATGATATACCACTAGGACTTACAAAGAAACTTGGTACAATATTAACATAAAATTGTACAGATAAACCAAGTTAATGGTGACCTGAAAAATTGAGTCTTGTGAAACCAACGGTGTAGAAAAGGTGGTAGCGAGACGGACTGCAAATTAAGATACTGCAGGTTCGAATTCCACCGAGGTGCAAAATTCTTTGTGTTCATAAATGTGTTGTTGCTGAATGCCTATAGTATTGATATCATACAGGAAGCTAACAGTGAAAGTATATCTGATAACATCTTTTTTTACTTGCCCGCGAAGAGATCACCCGTTTAATAAACATACAGCTGTATTACACATTGTGTAATACCAAAACGCGTGCTTATGTACTCTCGGAACACGTTTCACGAACAAATTTTGAAAACTCTCAACATCCCTTGGCTTATTCAACGACATTGCGTGTGGAGATGATAGATCACTGAGAGGAGCTTATGCACACTTGATGACCCCAGCAACCTTGTTGCTAGGCTGCCGTCACATGGCATTGTTTCGCCGAAGGATCTTGCAACAAAATTCCACAAATTACGTATTGTGACGTGATTGTAAACTTTGAGGTGCAAGGCCCCGTTCCACAAGGCGATCGCACGGTAGCGCTCGTTGGTCTAAGTTAAAGTATGTTAGTTGCGAAAACCTTAACGCTACGATAATTTTGTGAAACGGACACCTGAATTCTAAAGGTGGACCGTTGTCTGGTATTAAATTCATACGTTTCAACTTTTGACGTGTTTGAAGTATTACTGTGTTAAACTCAGTTGGATTATGCCGTGGATTAGGTGTTAGCCTATTCACACTCAACAGTATAAATCTTAAAGCGTTATAAATGGCCACTAATAAGTAAAAAACTAAACTCGCTCCCGTGTAAAACCAAATTTATGAAACTCGTCAGATACCAGAACTATTCACTCGTTTCATAAAATTGGTATTACACGGGATCTCGTTTAGAGTTCTATATAACGCTTTTTGTCCGTCTGTCTGTCTGTCTGTCTGTCTGTCCGCCTGTCTGTCTTACTGTCCAGTCCCTGTTCTAGCCCCTTAATCCCGAGCGACAGGTCTACAGGGTAACAACATGTACCATTTTTTAACGTCTTTTGATATGACGGGGTATCGAACCCCGGATCTTCCGCACTCCGGGCTGATGCTGTAATCTTCTTAAAAAATTACATGTGTATACCCTGCGCCGTGCTTCAGACTTTACATACATTGTATGAGCTATAACGTCGTACATTAATAATTTATATTCATTTTTATCATGTTTGGTATGTTGTACTCTAATACAATTATTTAAGATATGAGGACAAGTCCTTGAGGGAAAAGCATATATCACAGTGTGGCCCTTTTGCCGTTTTGTTAAAAATATTTTCGATGTTTGCTTTAATTGGATAATGCAGGTTCGTGTCAACTTCGTGTCAAATTTGTTACATGGTTTCCCTTTTCAACCAACCTATTGTTGCCCTGACACTGACTGTAATCAAAGTCAAAAGTTTATTGTACAAAAGGCCTCCGGCCCATATACAAGAGAGAGTTACGCATGTAGTGAGTGAGTTGGGTTTATCGCCGCTTTTAACAGTATTCCAGTTATATCACGGCGTGTCAGCTTAATTTGGGAGGAAAGCCCGAGGTGATGCAGGTCTCAGTCGTTTACCACTTCGGTGAAACCCACGAGCACGGGCATGGTGTTGACAAACCTAGAAACATAATCGGGGCGAACCGTGATTCGAACCCACAATCATAGGTTTCTGGCGAGTCCAAGGGACGCAACTCAGTTACCCATGTTAGTAAAGCAGGGTCATTGAGTGGAGAGAGAGAAGAGAGAGAAGGACACTGACTGTATTATAGCTTAAATCAAAATAGCCCCTCCTCATACTTCTATGCTTTATCTACATCCAATATCTCCGATTGGGTATTTATTGTTTTGATGTTTGATTGTTGTGTATTACATTTTTGGAACACTGTTGTCAATGTTCGTATTCTAACTACCATATATAGCTGCGCGCATGCATGTGTGTCTGTGGATGCTTGTTCTTGTCTAGCTTTATGCTTTGTAATAGTGCAGCATACTCAGACTCCATGACGCAGATTAACATGGACAGTTGTAACCCATTCAGACACATTATACTTACTCCGAGCTGACCAGGCCTTATTTGTCAGTTTTATCCCATGAATGCTCCAGGCAGGGTAACAACAAGTACCATTTTTCGGTATGACGCAGCCAGGGTATCGAAACACTGACCTTCAGCTCTCCGAGCAAGCGCTCTAACCACCAAACAACAGAGGCGGTTCTCGACCGTTTGTAAGTACTGATCGTTCCTTGTATTTTAAACAAAAAAAGAACACACACACACACACAAATAAAGACGTATAACTCAGCATGGAACTGTTGATTCAGTTATCCACTTCACATAATCAAAAACTGGCGACAAAGTGATGATGAACATGGATAAGCGTTACACTGAACGGGTTATGGTCTAAGGGAAGTAATTCTGCATTTTTTTTGGGGGGGGGAGGGGGGAACGAAGCGTCATAAAATATCATGTATAACCGTGTAAGCGATGTTGCAGGGAACGGCTCAACCACAATGTGTTCAGATTTATTTTCTTTGGGGCTAAAACAGATTGTATTTCTTTGGTGTGGTTTGATATCTTATCATCAATGTATCATATAAATTTAAGATGAAAGTACTGAAACCGTTTTATATGCACATAAATTCCGAGCTCGAAGTAATTGTTCAAGATTAGCAGATAAACTTTTATGTTATTATATAAATCTTTATCAGATGACATCCAATACAAATTGCAGTAATTGATTCTGAGACGTTTATATGACAGAATATACTCAGTTGAGATATCTAATCATTGCAATCATAATCATGGTAGGTTGTGTACAAAGTTGGGATTTGTTTGTAACACAAGGATTGGTGACAGCATTATCCAATTCGATCGATCATCGAAATTAACCGGCCAACAAATCATATGCCACTGGTTTCCAGTGTTAAGTTCAGTAAAACTAGTGCACACTCAACAAAAACAAACAGGAATACTGTGTTTTAGAAAAGACACTGACCTCATTATCTTTCACCCTCTGTCCACGCCCCAGTGGATAATATATGAAAATAGCTCACGGAAAATATGAATAATGTTCATTACATACGCTGTGATTCGACGAGGTTATTATCTGCCAGAACTTCATTTAATACCTGTCCAGACGTTTCAAGCAAATGTATCCCTGTTTGTATTCGGGGAGCTTAAACAAACGTTGAGAATTAATTCCCAGCTGACTTAATCTTTTATGCACCGACTGCTAAATGCAGGTACAATTTTCAGGGTGCACAGTTTACATCGACACCGGTCGTGATTGCGTCAGGGTAAGTCAAACGATGGTGCGCGTCTCAGAGATTCTCATTCTGAGGTTCTCGACCTGTGTGTTAAGACTTGATGTATTCCGTATTGTTAATACGTGTTCCTAGGTCCGAATGATGCGTTGACACTTTCAAAATAATAATTAGTTTTGATATTGTCAAGTGCATTATGTCCCGGAAATGTCCGCCACTGTCTAAGTTTCCGTGTTATGTTTATGCACAGGTTGTACGTAGGTGTACACAATACATTTTTTTCTACGAGGCCAAGAGTCAATAACTTTGTTGTTTGTGTGTACAGCTACATCTACTTATTCCTGTGGTTTTTAATGACAACATCGCGACCCAGTACCGTAGTTCCAGTAATAATATACAGTATACCACTTTTTACACTGTAGAACAGCAAATGGAGTAAACAGGTAAAGCTTTTTGCGATATATGAAACTTCTATAAGGTCAAATTTCATACTGAGGATTGTGAATAATTATATACACCGGTGTGTTGTACCGTATTTCCTTTGATAATAAATCTCCCTTTGATACAGATAAATTACATGTGCCTGGGACGTTTATGAACAAAAACACCGGTGCAACTTACCGTAGTTTTTTGAGACTATGAATTTATATATCGGGGTATAGTACCGTAGCTCCATTAATAACAAATGCGATTTTAATACAAGTATTTATAAAAGTGTGTGTGACGTTTATGAATAAAGACACCTGAACCTCTCACCGTATTTCTTTCAATAATATAAACTTATTTTTCAGGTATAGTACCGTGTTATCCATCAGTAATATATTCCACTTTGATTCAAGTAAATATATATGAATCCATAAACATCTAGGTATATAGAGGTTATCACGCGAGTGTGTTTGGGATGGTAAATATCCTGCATTAGGAATAAACATTGTATTTAGCGAGCCTTGGCGAGCTAAATACATAGTGTTTATTCCTAATACAGGATATTTACCATCCCCAAACACATAAGCGTGATAACCTCTTTATCATATAATGTCATTCTTTAATTCAGTGCTTCAAAATCGCTTTCCCTCTCTCACAAACATTACCGAAACATTGCGAGTTTTCCTGGAATGCGCGCATTAATATTTATTACGTCACAGGGTAAGTGATGTGTCAGTCGGACAGTGACAGTAGCCAATATAGTTCCAACTGAAATATGTTTCTTATACAGTGGTGAAGCAACATATACGCAAAACAACAATTGTTTTTAATTGCCTTTCGCGGCAGTCCATCGGTCTGTCCGCTAGAGTAACTGCCCTTTGTCAAAGGGAAGCTACTCTAACCCTAGTCTAACCCTAACGTCACGGCCACGGTCAGACGTTGTTGACAGTCGGTCTGTCCTGTCATAACGTTAAGAAGTGTAGTCAGATGTACACATTTCGAAATTTAAACCCCAAAGATGCCAAAACTTATAAAATGCCTCAGCTACGTCACAGTTAGACACTGGTTTTCAGTATAATAGACTGTTCTTTTGATAATGATAGCAATTATCCCTGTAGTTTATCCAGATTCCCGATAGTTAATTCTGACTCCACACTTGACCTTTGATATTTGTGCCTTGGACGTTTGTACCTGACTGCATATGTTAAAGGGACATGGTGTTTTAATGAATTGTCCATGTGTGTACATTCTTAATCTGTGTCATTCAAGATCAACAATACACGCCATGCATATAACATGGATGTTCAACGGTTTGATTTTGATTCAGATGGCGGGGGCTGCAGTCAAACTGACTGATGAGTTTTTGAGATGTGCGATATGCACTGAAATCCTACAGAAGCCATGCACGCTTGTGTGTTATCATACCTTCTGTCGGAAATGTGTCGTCAACTACACGAAAACCAAACCAGATGCCATCAGTGCCAAGTCTCTTCTCTGTCCATTCTGCAGCAAGATGACGAAAGTGTCTGACCCTGAGAAACCAGTGGAGGAGTGGGCGGATGACGTCAAGCCAAGCTTTGTCATCCAGGGACTCTTGGATTCGTTTGGCCCAGGCTCCAACGGTAAACTGCACAAAACTTTAGCTTGAGGCGTAGCATTAATTATATATAGAATACAAATGAGCTCCAGTGTAATACCAATTTTGTGAAACGAGTAAATAGTTCTGTTATCTGACGAGCGAAAGCGTGTCAGATACCACAATTATTCACGAGTATTTTAGTTATTTAGTATTTGTATTTTATTTATTACTTGCCATTTATAACGTTTTTAGACTTATACTATTGAGTGTGAATAGCCTGACACCTACACGATCCACGGCATATTCCAATTGAGTTAACAGAATAATACTTCAAACACGTCAAAAGTTGAATCGTATGAATTTAATACCATACAGTACAAGACGTCAAAATGGCTAACACGATAAACGTGACGGGAGAGATTTCCGAAGTTGTTAATGAACCTGTGGCGGTTACATGTGTTAGTCATCATTGATCAACTGGCCGATCATTGAAAGGTGATTAAAGATGCGTCAAACAGACACGAAGGTAAATTCATAGATTGCTGGAGACGGTCACTGTCAGCCTAGATGTGTATTTCTTCGTATGCTCATTAGGATGGGCCGTAGCGAGGATATTCGTGAACAATCATGCAGTCAAGCTCTCTGACTTTTCTCGATGCATACTGAAACGCTGAGACCCAAGATTAATGGTTCTAAAAGATCAGAAAGAACGCTTATGTTTGTTTTCGTGCTAGGGAATTCCTCAGGGGTTTCCCCAGGAATGTGGAAGTAGTCCGCCAGTGTTTACGTCATTTCAAGAACACGGTCTCGTTAAAAACGTATGAACGTCAAGTTGTGTCGTTCATACACTTATGAACGTCAATTTCGCGGTCATGTGACCGACCTCTCGTCCAATGGAAAAGCCGTATATCGTGTAAACTTCAAATTAAAAAATTATTACCCGATGACGTAATTTGTGGAACAAGGCTACTGGGGTCCTCGAGTGTGCACAAGCTCCTCTCAGTGATCTATCATCTCCACACGCAATGTCGTTGAATAAGCCAAGGGATGTTGAGAGCTTTCAATATTTGTTCGTGAAACGTGCTACGAGAGTACATAAGCACGCGTTTTGGTATTACACAATGTGTAAAACAGCTGTATGTTTATCATCTCTACACGGGCAAGTAAAAAAAAAGCAGTAATTCAGTCTACAAACGGTTAAATGGAGGCGAGACTATTATATTATATACGCTGGCTGATAATTAGTAAAGATATGAATAAATGAAATATCTATTTAAAAAGTCTTAATTGTAGAGGATCAAGGATGTTTGAAGGAAGGCGGGGGCAGGGCGATGGTGGTTATTTTGGTCTGTTTAAGTCATTGGGGTCCTTGTCCTGTTTGCTAAGTGGAGGGGAGAATTCGACAACCAGCACAACCAGAAAGTGTGCACATGAGGTCTTCCCATTTCGCAGTACCTTGTCTGTCAAATGATAGACATTTTTTAAATACTTACGTAGTACATTATGTAAATGATTTTACTTTTCCATTTAGATCTTTAAAATTCGAAAGAAATGATGCAGCAAACCGAATAGAGTTCTCACAAATATTTGAACAATCATACTTTCATATAAATTCCATAAATTCTGTCATCTAACAAATTTAATAATCGTCATGTTCTTAAGCTTTTAAATGCAGCATGTACAAATTATAGTCATTGTGCAATGTGAGATTTTCGTTTTTGCTTCGCAGGCATGACGAACTGTGAATTGTGTGAAGTAACAGGGGACTTAACTCCAGCCGTTTCTTGGTGCTCTGTTTGTGATGACGCTCTTTGTGAAAGATGTGTGGCGATGCACAAGCGGATCCCTGCAACACGAAACCATGACGTCACCCTCCTTTCAGGCGATGTCAAGGTCAAACAGAGGAAGAAGGTCATGTGTGAGGAGCACAAAAGTGAATGTATAGAATTTGATTGCAAAGATTGCAAGAAAGCCATTTGTCAGAAGTGTTGCATTGTTTATCACAGGAAATGTTCTTCTGTTGTAACACTTGAGTCCGAACTGTCTGAGATCAAGTCTTCATTAACAAGAAACAAAGGCTCTCTACTGACAAGACTCCAGGGGAAAACAGATCAAGTTGAGAAACAGAAATTAAAAGTGGTTGAATTATCGGATTCTTCAACTGAAATTGAATCGCAAATTCGGGCTTCCTGTAACGAAATCAGAGACAGGATTAACCAGAAAGAACGGACACTTATAAACAAAATGAAAGACGTTGCCGGAACTCACATTGGGCAACTGAAAGCCGACATCAAGTCGGGAGAGATGTCAATCCAGATGTACCAACAAGAGGCTGAGCTGATAGACCAGAGTCTTGGGACTGAGTGTCAGGTGGACATGTACCGAATGTCTCAGTGGTTTGCGGAAGAGCATGAGGAAACAGCCGGGGATGGAACCGCGAAAGATGAAGAGACGATTGACGGTTTCAAATTTACACAGAACACAACGGAGATTAATAAGGCAGTAGACGATCTACGGCTGGGGGAGATAGATGTCCTGTATAAGAATACCCTGAAATTGAATGTTCCTCTTGTGTTACTAGACACGATTAGTGTCAAGGTACCAGGTGACCAGGATACACCCAATCCTGTTGAAGTTACTGTGGTGCTTGTTGATGACATTTACACAGTTGTAGTTACAGACATGAACACCAAATGTGTAAAGTCATTTTACACAAGGAATAATCAGATTTGCCACAGTAGGGTTGCTGTACAAGGTAGACCGTGGAATCTGACCAAACTGAAACACAACCAAGTGGCTGCCTCTGTCCTTGACACGAAAAACATTGTAACATTTGAAGTCAACCCTGACCTGGTGCTGCTGTCAGTCATCACAACCAACAGACAGTACTATGGTTTAACGTCGCTGACACAATCAACACTTGCAGCAGGTTGCACGTCTCCTCCTTGTGTTGATATCCTGGATGTGACAGGAAACGTACTGAGGTCAATTAGTCCACTCCATATGGGTAAGAACACATTGAAATCACCCTACTTCCTCTCCACAACAACAACAGGCAACATCCTTGTGTCCGACGAAGGATCACAGTGTATCATCTGTGTGAACCCGAAGGGAGATCTGCTATTCATGTTAACCAATACGGGAGACAGAAAGTTCGAAAAACCTCTTGGTATTACAAGTACCGGCACTAGTGAGATTCTGGTAACAGACCGCGCTTTGGGCAGTGTTATCCAACTTAATGAATCAGGACAATTTGTTAGAAAAATACTGACACTACAGGATGGAGTACAGGATCCATATGGAGTATATGTAGACGGGCAAGGTCGTTTATACATTTGTCTTTGTTCTAGAGGAGTTATCAAGGTGTACTCCAGTACATCAAGAAACTGAATTGGTAATAGGTGGATCAGTTCATACAAGGAATACCTGCTTCGTTGAAACTAAATGTGATGGAATAGGTTGCTCCTGGTCAGGAAGAATGATCGAACTGATTTAGTGAAGGACACTTACGACCCAATCATTACTGACAAGGAATAACAAGTATTTATCCAGATAGAATCATTTCTGTCGTTATTATTATGCCACTATTATCTATATAACCGTTCATAAAGTATTATTGCAAATACCATGGGCTAAGAATATGGCTCATTATTTACTGCATTGCCAAAAGTATGTAAATCATGTCAGGCAATGGTGGAGTCTCTAACAGTTAGGAGATAAACCTACTGTGTTTTAAAATTTGATGTAGTCCCACTGTAGAATAGATACCACTTTATTATAATTTTGAACCGAGCGCTTTAGCTTTAGCACGAGGTTCCAAATTATAATAAAGAGGTATCTATTCTACAGTGGGACTACATCAAATTTTAAAACACAGTAGGTTTATCTCCATTCTACCATGACGGCAACAACGCTTTGAAAACGGCGCTCTCTTGCAACGCGTAATAACACAGGTGCACATGTCCGCAATCCTAGAACATTCCGAAAAGTGGTCACAGGTAGTTATATATGTAACAATTATTACTAAAGTTCAAGATTAAAAACACCATATAGTCGTGAGTAGTTCATAATAAGTGTTCAAAACACATAGTTTTTCAAAAGAAGTTGACAAATAACACTCCTAACTTAGTCCAAAGAGATGTTTTACTTTCCACGAAACTGTTGTACACTGCTGTACACTGTAGACTGGCTGTGATATCTCGGAATGTTGTGGGGGCGGTCATTTCTTGGAAATCGAACATGCCATCATTTCTATTGTAGGGGTGACGGGTAATAGAAAAAGGTTTTAAAATGCTAAACGAATATATTTCTACAGCAAACTTTATGAATTAACATTCCATTATACATATAACATGTGTAAGTGTTATGAGTTAGTTAGCAATTACCCCCAGTAAACAATAATAAAATCAAAATAAATGCATCTCCACCCCGAACTTGGATGTGGCAGAACTTGACCTACATCACGGTTACTCACACCTCACAGCTGTCAGGCTGACAATCTTGTGTTTACATTCTCCGTAACGAGAAAGACGCAACATGACAACCCCGATCTATGATGTGGTTCAACATTAACAGGTTGATTATCTGGGATTGATTGAGCCTGCTTGTACATCCATATGATTACCTATGTGACTGAGTATGACTGAACAGCCGCTTTTTAGGCTGCAGACGAGCCAGATATTTTGAAACGAGGAATCTGCATGGTGTGACCTATTAATTTCAAGATTTCACGGATCCAAAGCCAAGAACTTAGACATTTGTGTCCCAGAAATACTGGATCGTGTATGATTTTCTTAATTGTTCGTGTTCTGAGATGAATTTCATCAAGTTTGATAAGCTGTCACTTCAGCTGGGACATTGTTTTCGTGGACTTTCGAAGGGGAGTGCTTTCTGATGGACTCTCAAATCCCCTCCTGACAAATTCTAACGGCGGTGGTTGACGGAGATGGCAACGAATATTGAGGTTAGTAAACAACATGTTGTCATGAATAAAGTGTTTTCAAACAATTTTTATAATGTTATATTTTACTTTCAGTGTTGGTTGTTTCAATGAGGAAATAGCTTAAATTGTTCCGATTCTGGTCACCATAGAACATTTCTCTAACAGTTTCATAAACAGTTTCATTTGTATGCAAAAAATATGCCTTCGTTAAATATTTTAATGTCATCATCGAAGCAGTCAGGGTTGCGGCCTAGAACGCCCCAAACATCCGATATCAAAATATTTCCTCTATTTGACACTACGCGAGAGCCCTTGACTCGGCGTGTATTAAAGACCTGGCTGGTATTAGGGACCCAGCGTGTATTAGAGTAAATATAGATTATGTTTTACAGTTCATATTGGGGTGATCGATCGGCAGCCATTTTCTATGAATCGATATGTAGGCTATCTATGTATTCAAACGCACGCTTTTTGTGTGCACAGGCTCAATATATTTGAAAGGGGTTTCCGTAGCAAGCATTCATCAATGTCATGGTAGAATTTTCAATATTGACCTCTCATTGGCTGGACTTTTATGTTCTAGGAATATTGTTCAGCATGTCGTTCAGAATGTCATAAAGCGTGTGGCAGTTTTACTAGTTTATAAATATCTAGGTTCTTAGCAAACGTTTATTTTGGGCAATGTGTAAATGGGCCTAGTTGCCCGAACACCTTTAAAACTTTAAATGATCAATCAATCAATAGGCTAAGAATGTGACTTCACCTTAGCTATGCGGCCCATGAGCATAAACGCATCAAGTCATTTCAAATGGACTTTATGCTTCACGACAATACAATTATGAATACACATAAAAGAACGACCATTTTCTACCTACAGCAGGCAGCTAAAGCAATGGGTGAATATTTTTTGCCATATCTCTTTTATTTTTAAACCCATGAAAAACAGAGATTGCAGGCCTACCAATTAAGAGTAATGATATGTGTTCAATAAATGTGTTTTTTAACTGAAGACAAATAGCAGCAATATATACATATTAAAATACTGAAATAAAACAAAAATATAACCGTTTCTTTCTTCCCATGTTATTTCAATGCAACAAAATATTTTCTGGCTTGAAGTACAGTATAAACAAATAATATGTAAAAAATACCATTACCTCATATTATTTTGTACATGGATACAAGCGCATTATGTTTTAGGCCCTTTCTCGATGCTGCTTCTTATGGTCGTTGTATGTTATGATTGTTCAGTTTCTTCATTTCACCTGTTCCAATATATATATATATATATATATATATATGAAATGAAATATGTAAATGTCTCTAGGTATGGCATCATAGGTGCAGTTCAACATAAGTCACCGTTCAGACACTGGATACAAAATTACCTTTTTGTAATGCACTATATTTATATATATATATATATATATATATATATATATATATATATATATATATATATATATACAAAAAAAAGGTAATTTTGTATCCAGTGTTTGAACGGTGACTTATGTTGAACTGCACCTATGATGCCATACCTAGAGACATTTTCAGAAATGTGCTGCTGCATCATCCATTCTCAGAAGGCATGATGCAACGTAATAGCTTGACTTAGTTGATTTTAAGAAAGTGAATATTGTTAGTTCTCTCAGTTTACAAGAATACATTCAGTACTGAATAATGAAAGCCCTGTCAGTACGCCAATTGACAGGAACGATCCTTGTCATTGACTTCAAATTACTCTCATTTGTCTCGTCCAAATATGATGATCACAATGTGTAAACGATTATTCATGATTCCACGACACTATTGCTATTAGTTTAGATACGAGATATGCCCACATGTCCCTGTGTTTGCGCCAGTGTTCTTAGGGATATACTGAAGCGTCCTAAAATCGCAACTGTTCGGTGTTATTGGGCACTGACAATTAAAGAAGTGTTTAACGTGCAGAAGTGTCGAGGTTCAATTCACACTGCCATGGCCAAGTCCACGTAGGAATACGTAGTTGTTTGGAATATGCACTCAGATCACGAGCTAAATGTGGCCTCTTGACAGTGTCGATACGTTATTCACTCTTTATGGTGTTGAGTTTATTAACTCATTATTTGGTCGCAGCCGACATAATTGACTGTTGTTGTTTTAGCTACTCGCATTATTAGGGGGCATGGGTGGCCCAGTCGTCTAAGGCGCCGCGATTCGCTGTGCAGAGTTGCGTCCCTTGGGGACGCCAGAAACCTACGATTGTGGGTTCGAATCCCGGTTCTCCCCAATTATGTTTCTAGGTTTGTCAGTACCATACCCGTGTTCGTGGGTAAACGTCTGAGACCTGCATCACTTCGGGCTTTCCTCCAACATTAAGCTGACACGCCGCGATAACTGAAATATTGTTAAAAGCGGCGTTAAACCCAACTCACACACTCAGTCATTTTATTACTGTAATATAGTTGCTTAGCTAAGCTGCTTGTGTATTTGCTCTGATGTAATTAATCAGTGTCCTTGTCTGCGCAGCTTATTTGATCCTTTTATTGTCATCTATTAGTACGATTAGTTGTGATTAGTAACAAACCTGTGATTACCTCGTTTTCATTATTACTTTATTCTTGTTTAGTGACACCCCTGATCATTAAAGCACAACTCCGTGACATCCTTCGACGCCAAGAATAACGGTCCATTTGAAAGTGACATTCGCGTGGATGGTCAGTCTTGGAGTGTAACGAACTCTTACAAAGGTTGAGTGGGCGGTCGGGTAGCCTAGTGGTTAAAGCGTTCGATCGTCACGCCGAAGAACCGGGTTCGATTCCCGACATCCGTACAATCCCGACATGGGCCCAGTTCTGGTATCCTCCGCCGTGATATTGCTGGAATATTGCTAAAAGCGGCGTAAAACCATACTCACTCACTCACTACAAAGGTTGAGGCCACTCCAGATCTTGTGCTTCTTTCAACCATCAAAACGTGCAAAGAGAACGTTGGTGTTACTGCTCTGACATCATCAACACCAGCCGCCGGGTCCAGGTCAGCTCCCTGTGTTGATATAATTGATACGATAAACGTCCTGAGATCTGTCATGCGGAGGATATATAGAGTACCTATGATCAACATGCCCAGTTTACTCTGTCCTACAAGGAAAATGGCAAGCGTATCCTGTGTGATGACACCAGAAGAAGATGTTGTGTTCAGCCTCATCCATACAGAACACCCTCTTTGCTTCTTGAAACTCGTGATGATGAAATGCTAAGTCTCTGCTATAAATACGCATGATGCGCAGCAAACAATTAACTTGCAAAACAAATACAATGCATCTTGAACTTTATCTTTACCAAATTGCCAGTCATGTTGCTTCACGTCTCCCTGCCCCCAGAGGCGTTATAAATAATAACCTTGTGTTCCCGTATAACCAACTGTGTCGCTGTGAACCGTTATTTGTTACCTATTAAAGACGGTTTGTAAAAGAAATCAGTGGAACACTTGAATCACTGCTGAACCTATATTTGGTATCGTTTTGGTATCTTGGGATGTACGGAAGATTTCAAATATAAAACTTTCTATAGATTATCGAGTATTAAATCATACAAGTTAATAAGAAAACACAGGATATAAATCGACATTGCAAATAATAATATTTTTTCAATAGTTTTTCGTTCATCTATCTACCTGCATGTACTGAAAAATCGGCGTTAGACATGACGTGTATTTGGAATGATATGATTATTAAAGACGGCAATATTTTCATCAATGACAACAGAGTGAGTATGGTTTTATGCCGCTTTTAGCAATATTCCATCAATATCACGACGTGGGACACCCGAAATTGGCTTCACACGTTGTACCCATGTGGGGAATCGAACCCGGGTCTTCGGCGTGACGAGTGAACGCGTTAACCACAAGGCTACCCGACAACCCCCTATGACAACAGAAGCGGCAAGTTAGCAAAATGCATTGGAAATATCAACTGAAGTGAAGGATTACTTAAGAAAACATGAATTAAACTCTATTATGAATACGATATTATCGCGAACTGTCAATTTTAGGACAGAGACGAAAACATACTTTGTCTAGTATGTAAAACAGCGGAAATATATTATTCACAATACACATTTTCAGGTCATCAATTATGTCCAGCGAGCACCGTTTGTAAACACAAAATATGAATAGTTGGTCCCTAATCAATATCAGAAAATAACATATTGATTTGAATATTCACCCATACAAGGAACAGGGTATCATTATTATATATCTATTTTACATTATATGAAAGTGCTTCTGCTGAATAAGGTACATGTTTCTTAAACGGTGGTGGCGTTCTAACCAAGCAGTAGCATGTATATGTTAAACTGATGCCCTGCCTGGCGTTCGGCATTAAGGGGCTAAAACAATGACTGGAATCACTGTACTGTGTCTG